TGTATAATTTGTATGCATTTAATGTTGTCCCAGAGGTTTAATGTTGTTCTTACATTGTGTTTCATGTTGTCCCAGAGGTCTGTGAGACTGTCGTCCTTTCTTTTCATTCTTTTTTCTTTATTGTCGTTTGTAGTAGTTATTTCCCGTATTTAATATTTCAGGTCACTTATCCGTTTTTCTGCCTCAGTTATTCTGCTAGTGATCTCATCTATCGTGTTTTCAATTTCATTTATTGTGTTGTTCATCGTTGCTTGTTTCCTCTTTAGTTCTTCTAGGTCCTTGTTAAATGTTTCTTGTATTTTCTATATTCTATTTCCAAGATTTTGGATCATGTTTACTATCATTATTCTGAATTCTTTTTTAGGTAGACTGCGTATTTCCTCTTCATTTGTTTGGTCTGGTGGGTTTTTATGTTGGTCTTTTATCTGCTGTGTGTTTTTCTGTATTCTCATGTTGCTTATCTTCCCGTGTTTGGGGTTTGCGTTCTGTAACTTGTTGGTTCGTAGTTCCTATTGTTTTTGGTGTGTGCCCAGTGGTGAAAGATGGTGGAGTGGGTCGTGTAGGCTTTGTGGTGGAGGGGAGTAGTGCCTGTGTTCTGGTGGATGAGGCTGGAACTTGTGTTTCTGGTGGGCAGGTTCACATCTGGTGGTGTGTTTTGGGGTGTCTGTGGAGTTATTGTGATTCTAGGCAGCGTCTTTGCTAGTGGGTGGGGTTGTGTTCCTGTCTTGCTATTTGTTTGGCATTGGGTGTCCAGCACTGTAGCTTGCTGGTCGTTGAGTGAAGCTGGGTGTTGGTGGTGAGGTGGAGATCTTTGGGAGTTTTTAGCCATTTGATATTATGTGGAGGTGGGAGGACTGTTGTGGACCAGTGTCCTGAAGTTGGCTCTCCCACCTCAGAGGCACAGCACTGAGTCCTGGTTGTGGCACCAAGAGCGTTTCATGCAGACGCCTGATAGTAAAAGGGAGAAAATGCAGAAAGAAAGAAAGAAAGAAAGAGGAGAATAGAAAATATAATAAAGTAAGGTAAAATGAAATGAAGTTATTAAAATAAACAATAATTATTAAGAAAAATTGTTTTAAAAAGTAGAAAAAGCAAAGAAACAAAAAGGACAGATAGAACCCTAGGAGAAATGGTGAAAGCAAAGCTATACAGACAAAATCTCACAGAGAAGTATATACGTACACAGGAAAAGAGGAAAAGGGGGAAAAGTCATAAATCTTGCTCTCAAAGTCCAGCTAGTCAATTTGGGATGATTCATCATGTATTTAGGTATTCCGCAGATGCAGGGTGTATCAAGTTGATTATGGCACTTTCATCTTGTGGTTTTGAGACTGCTGGGGGAGATTTCTCTTTCCTATTTTTGTTCACAGAGTTTCTGGGGCTCAGGTTTGGATTTGGACCGCCTGTGCATGTAGGTCGCTGGAGGGTATATGTTTTTCACTGAGACAGGAGTGTGTTAAAGGAGTCGCTGATTGGGGGGTAGGTTTAATCAGGCCGGGGGGGAGAGAGGGCCACGGAGTGCGGGGCAGGCCTGCGGTGGTAGAGGCCGCCATAACGTTGCACCAGGCTGAGGAGTGATGTGCGTTTTCCTGGGGAAGTTGTCCCTGGATCCTGGGACCTTGGTTGTGGCGGGCTGCAGAGGCTCACTGGAAGGGAGGTGTGGATAGTGACGTGTGGTCGTATACAGGCTTCTTGGTAGTGGCAGCAGCTGCCTTAGCATCTCATGCCTGTCTTTGGGGTGTGCAATGTTAGCCGTGGCTCACGCCCATGTGTGGAGGTACTTGAAGTAGCGCTTTGAATCCCCTCTCGTCACGCACTAGCAAACAAACAATGAAGAAAATGTCTCTTTCCTGTTCGGCAGGTCTAGACTTTTCCTCGGAATCCCTCCCAGGCAGCTGTGGTGCAGTAACACCTTCAGGTTGTGTTTAGGTCGCTAACCCAAGTCTTCTCCCTGCGTTTTGAATGAAGCCCGAGGTCGTGCTCTGAGCCACGCTTGACCTGGCGGGGGAGCAGAGAAGCCTCTCCGGCTGGTGAATGTCTGTTGGCACCAATCCTCTGTGTGTGAATGTGTCCACTTTGTCCTCTGTACCCCTGTGGCTGTGCTCTCCTCCGTGGCCCTGAAGCTTTTCCCCTCTGGCACCCACAGTTTCCCTGCCGAGAAGAGGCTTCGTAGTGTGTGGAAACCTACCTCCCACTGGTGCAGGGTTTGTTTCCAGTCTTTTGTGTCTGTTTATTTATTTTTTGTGTCCTATCCAGGTACGTGGGGAGTTTCTTGCCTTTTGGGAGGTCTGAGGTCTTGTGTCAGTGGTCAGTAGGTGTTTCGTAGGAGTTGTTCCATGTGTAGATGTATTTGTGGTGTGTCTGTGGGTAGGAAGGTGATTTCTGCATTGTACTCTTCTGCCATCTTTCCCCTCTCCCAAACATTTTAATAATAGTTATTTTTGTGATGCATGAGCATGGAATGTTGTTTTGTATTGTGTCTTTAGTTTCTTTATCAATGGTTTATAGTTCTTTGAGTATAGGTGTTTCATGTCCTTGGTTAAATTTATTGCTAAATGGTTCGTTATTTTTGATGGAATTGTAAATGGTATTTTTCTAAGTATTTTGCTGGTGGTTCATTAGTAGTGTATAGAAACTAAAGTGATTTGTGTATATTGATTTCATATTTTGCAACTGTACTGAATGTATTTTTTAGTGTATTTTTTGAAGTAATGTGAAAAATTGCAATACTAAAATCTCAAAGTTTCTCCTTCTCCCCAGGTAATCTACAGGACCCAAGAGATGGTAGCTACTAATATACTCTTTTCATGGTTCCTGTTCATACCATGCGGAGCGCTGCAAGGGAAATAAGTATCACATCTTTGTTTGAACGTGGTGTGGGTAAGTCTTGGCCTCTATCACTAAAGTTTAGGTCTCTCTTATCTGATATTCTGGCATGATATTGATATGGTTGTCTGTCTAGAAAAGTAATTTAGTTTCCAGTAATTTAAAAGGTAGCAAGAAGTTGCAATAATGGGAAAAAGTACTCACATTTGCCCAAGGAACCTGCATATAACCCCTACATGAAGTAATCCTGATGTCCATGTTATATTTTAATATTCAGCCCCACTTCAACTTTAATATACTGTGCCAATGTGTGAAAATGTCTTTTTCCATCGTCATCTAGTTTTGTTTTTCTGGAACCGTTACTGAGTTTCTCCCTTAGTTGGACCACCTTGATGCATTTGAAGCAGACAAGATGAGTATGGGATCTAGGTGGACTTTTCTGTATGGCTTTTTTTTACTAAGAATGTTTTTAATGTTCATTTTTGTAACAAGTATCAGTGCTGCACTTTTTGTTAATTGTCATTAAAATTAGAAAAGACGACTTTAGCATTTAATTCACTTTATGTATACAGTTTTGTGGTATTAACTACCTTTATATAGTTGTACAAAGAAGTTAACTAAGATGTGTAACTCCTGTGTGCATGGTAGTTACCCAGGAAATTGAGTAACAGTCTGAAATGGCCGAATACATCACGTTAAATATCATCTTCATCTAAAAGGAAAATGAAGGAAGACTATAGTTGTTTCTGTCAATATTCATTTGATTGTATATGGCTTCCAAGTGATGTTGTATAACTAGTTGTGGAGACGTTTTGGGATAGGTGGTTCTGTTTTAGTTTCAATTTTCAAATTTAGTGGATTTTGCAGGCTTGATACAAGGTTTACAAACTTCATAGTGGATCAGGTCATCCCATGGTGTAACTGGTATTCATCGTTTGTTCAACAATTAAAGTTTGTGTGATACGAGTTCTCCGTGGAGTAATGTAGGTTAGTTTGTGTTATAGATTTGTGTCGGGATGAAAGGATAAGAGAAAGAAGACTTGATTTATTAAAGTGCTTTGAAAGTAATTGATAGTGAAGTATAGTTTATCTATCTGCAGCATTGTGTCAATTTCTACTGTACAGCAAAGTGATTCATATGTACATATATTTATATACATATATTTTTTATTTTCTTTTCCATTATGGTTAATTATAGGGTATTGAATACAGTTCCTTGTGCTGTACAGTAAGACCTTGTCTATCTGTTCTATATATAATAATTTACATCTACTAATCCCAAATTCCCAATTCATTCTTGTCCTATGTCTTATCCTTGACAACCACCAGTGTGTTTTTTATATTTGTGAGTGTGTTTTTGTTCTGTAGATAGGTTCATTTGGGTCTAATTTTATAATCCAGATATAAGTGATATCATATGGTATTTGTTGTTCTCTGACTTATTTCAGTTTGTATGATAATCTCTAGGTCTATCCATGTAGCTGCAAATGGCCTTATTTAATTCTGTTTTATGGGTGAGTAATATTCCATTTTATATGTGTACTATATGTTGTATATCCATTCATCTGTTGAGGGACATTCAGGTTGCTTCCATGTTTTGGCTATTGTGAATAGTGTTGTTGTGAATGCTGAGGTGCACGTATGTTGTTGAATTATAGTTTTGTTTGGATGTGTGCCCAGGAGTGGGATTGCTGGTATATATGATAATTTTATGTTTAGTTTTTGAGGAACGTTCATACTGGTTTTCATAGTGGTTGCATCAATTTACATTTTCCCCAGTAGTGTAGGAGGGTTCGTTTTTCTGCACAGCCTTTCTAGCATTTATTTCTAGACTTCTGAATGATGCCCATTGTTAACACTATGAGGTGATAACTAAGTGTAGTTTTTTTTTTTTTTTATGGTACGTGGGCCTCTCACCTCTGTGGTCTCTCCCACTGCGGAGCACAGGCTCCGGACGCGCAGGCCCAGTGGCCACGGCCCGCGGGCCCAGCCACTCCGCGGCACGCGGGATCCTCCCGGACCAGGGCACGAACCCACGTCCCCTGCATCAGCAGGCGGACTCCCAACAACTGCACCACCAGGGAAGCCCCTAAGTGTAGTTTTGATTGGGATTCTCTAATAATTAGCGATGTGGAGCATCTTTTCAGGTGCCTCTTGGTAATCTGTATGTTTTTGGAGAAATGTGTAGTTAGACTTTCTAAAATTGTGTATATTTTTTGATTTTTTTTGTTCTTTGAGTTGTATGAGCTGTTTGTGTATTTTAGAAGTAAGCTCTTGTTGATCACATTATTTGCAGGTATTTTCTCCCAAAGTGTGAGCACAGGTTCTGGAACAACTGGATAGCCACATGCAGAAGAGTAAAGTTGGAACCTTACCTACCCTTCTGCCATATGCAAAATGAACCGAAAATGGACGAAAGGTCTATATGGCAGAAGCAAAATTATAAAACTCGTAGAAGAAAACATGAGAGTCCGTGTTCATGACCTCGGATTTGATCATGATTTTGTAGATCTACAAAAAGCAGAAGGAACAAAAGACAAAATAGATGAATTGGACTTTTGAAAATGAAAAACAGTTGTGTATAAAAGGAGCAAGGAATAAGATAATCCATTATCGAAAATGGCGAAGATGTTCGCAAAGCATGTATTTAATAAAGGATTTTAGCCCACCAGCCAAGCCCTTGGTGGTCCAGTGGAGTGTCTGTGAGGCCCTGTCGTCCTCAGTGATTAGGGGATTTCAGGCCCCACAGCAGCCGAGGGGTGGACACGGGTCATCCTCAGCACCCTTAGGGTGTGAGTGTTGGATGGTTTTGAGCTCAGATGCCCTCCCATTACTGCCGTCTAAGGCTGAAGGTTTCAATATGCTTCTAGAAGGACACAGAGTATTTGTAAGTTTTTGAGAAGCAAGAGAACAGTCTTCAGTTTTCTGAAAGGGTATGTTATTCTTTCATATCATGACCATTTTCAGTTTGACTGTTAGGGATGCTCTCCCTGATTTCTGTGAGAGTGGCTATGGGGGTTTCGCTGCCTCCAGTCTCCTTCACCAGGTGACAAGGTTAGTGGGGCTAGACCCTGGTGGACATTAGCTTCGCTGGAGACTAATGTAGACTCTCTGTTTGCGATTGAATGTGGATGCCCGTGGTTCTCTCCGTCAGCGATTCTCATGTCCTCCTGTGTCTCTCTTCCTGTTGTCCTTTAGTCTCAGATTTACGTGAAGGCCACCACTCACAGCTTCCGTGGAGCGAAGAGATTTCTCCTGGAAGGAAAGGTTCAGGAAAATCAGAGGGAGAAATAAAGGATGCAGCTGATTCCTGATTTGTGGTGATGCCCAAGCGGGTGAGGAGAGTGAGTGTTTTTTTATTAGAATTTTAAATCCTCCAAGTAATAGATTATTGGGGGGGGGCATCCAGTGTTCTCCTGCTCATTGTAAGAGTGTCATTACTGGATTTTAATGTGGCAAATAATTTATATTATAAATATGCGGTGGGGGGGGAACATACAGTTAAAAATGTTAGAGGTAACTGCAAGGGGTGTACAACAAACAAGGACCCAGAACCCTGTGTCCAGCCAGTGGCTGAGAGGTTCCTACCGTGAGTCGCAGTCTCTTGGAGGGTGGAGTGGCCATGACTTTCCTCCTGCAGGTGACCGTACACAGGCAGATCGCATGTGGGACCACTGTATTGCAGAATGTTAGAGTGGCTGCTGGCACATAGTTGGGTAGAGATGCGGACAACAGAGAACTGCTCAGTAGCCTTGGAGAACCCCGGAGTGAGGCCTTAGTAAGGGCCAGTGTCATGTCATTACTTAGGGCCAGCATCAGGGCCAAAGGTAAGACCATTGTCAGGGCATTAGTGAGGGATATAATTAGCGTGTTTGTTAGTTAGGTAAAGAGTCAGGTTATTAGTTACAGACAGTGTTAGGGCCTCAGGTAGAGAATTTGTTTAGGCGTTAGTGAAGAAGAGCATCGGAGCTTCACCCATATTACGGAAAACGTCAGGATATTAGTTAGGGGCAGCTGCTAGGCCTTAGTTAGGGATAGTGTCAGGACCTCAGAGAAAATCTGACAGCTCTAGTATAAGCCTGTTGAGGCCGTTAGTTAGAGACACATGAAAGACTTTCTTAGGGATATATTCTGGGCCTTAGTAATGGTCAGGATAGGGGTATTATTTAGTGACAGTAAATGTTATGCGTGACAGCTTCAGGGCCATAGTTAGGGAGAGCATCAGGGCCTCACGTAGAGATAATGTAGGGCCTTAGTAAGAGAGAGTTCAGGTCGTTAGGGACATCGTAAGAGACTTTCTTAGGGACATAGTTAGGACCTTAGTTATGGACAGCATCAGGGCATTATTTAGTGACAGCTTAGACTATAAGGGACAGCATCAGGTCCTAAGTTAGGGAAAGTGTCAGTGTTTCACTTAGAGATAACGTGAGAGGCTTAGTTAAACACAGTTCAGGCTGTTGCTTAGGGATATATGCAGGACCTTAGAGGTAGTATCATGGTCATAATGAGAACCAGTGTCAGGGCATTAGTTAGGGCGAAAACTAGGGTGTTAGTTAGGGAAAGAGTCAGGTCATTAGTTACAGAGAATGTCAGGGTTTTAGGTAGGGACAGCGGCAAGTCGTTAGTTAAGAAGAGTGTCAGGGCGTTACTTAGGGGTAGCGTCAGGATGTTAGTTAGGGAGAGTCAGGAGATTAGAATTTCAGATTCTGAGGTAGAGATAGTATCAGGGCGTTAGTTAGGGACAGTGTCAGACACTTTGGTAGGGATATATTCAGGGCTTTAGTTATGGACAGGATCAGGGTGATATAGAGGAACACCTAAGGGTATTAGGGACATCTTCAGGGCCTCAATTACCGATAGCATCAGGGTATTAATTAGGGAAAGAGTCAGGCTATTAGTGTCCGTGCCTTACATAGAGAGAGTATTAGGGCCTTAGTTAAGGACAGCTTCAGAGACATACTTAGGGACATATTCTGGGCTTTAGTTATGGAGGGGATTAGGGTGTTAGGGAAAGAGTTGGACATTATTATAGACAGTGACAGTGTCTCAGGTAGAGACATCGTTTGAATGTTAGTTAGGAAGAGGGTCAGGGTCTTTGTGAGGGACAGGGTAAGGCTAACAGTGAGGGACATCTAAGGCTGTTAGGGACATTGTCAAGGTGTTAGATTGGGCCAGCATCAGGGCTGTAGTGTCGGCTAGTGTCAGGGCATTAATGAGGGAAAAAAGTAGGGTGTTAGTTAAAGAGTCAGGTCATTGGTTACAGACAGTTTTAGGGACTCAGGGAGAGTGAGCATGAAGGAGTTAGTTAGGAAGAGCATTAGGGTCCCAATTAGATTCAGCATCAGGACGTTATTTAGGGCCAGCAATAGGGCCTTAGTTAGGGACAGCGTTGTCAGGACCTCAGAAATAACTTGAGGGCTTTAGTAAGAGACAGTTCAGGCTATTAGTTTAGTTAGGGACACTTCAGACACTTTCTTAGGGATATATTCAGGGCCCTAGTAACAGAATCTGGGTGTTATTTTGTGACCGCTTAGGCAGTAAGGGAGAGTATCAAAGCCTAAGTTAGGGAGGGTGTCAGCGTTTTGGGGATAGTGTTGGGGATTTTGTAATTTATAGCTTAGGGCATTAGCTAGGGACAGTGTCAGAGTTTTAATGACGGACATCTTCAGGGCATTAGTTAGTTATGCAGAGGAGCAGGTCCATACTTGGGATCAGTGTGAGGTCGTCATTTAGGGGCAGTGTGAGGGCCTTCTGTAGAGAGAGCATCAAGGCCCTTAGTTTGGAAGAGGGTCAGGGCCTTAGGGGATAGGGTCAGAGTTGTCTTCAGGCATATATTCAGGGCCTTAGTAATGGAGAGGTTCAGGATCGGAGTGAGGGACATTGAAGTCTATTAGAGATATCGTCAGGGCCTTAGATAGGGTTAGTGTCAGGGCTGTAGTTAGGACCAGTGTTAGGGGGTTATGTAGGGAGGAAATTAGTTATAGACAGTGTCAGCTTCTCAGGCAGAGACTTCAAGGTCTTAGTGAAAGAATCAGAATCTCAGGTAGGAGCTGTATCAGGGTATTACATACAGTGTGAAGGCCTTAATTAGGGAGAGTTTCAGGGCCTCAGAGAAAAACTTGAGGGGCTTAGTAAGAGACACTTCAGGTTGTTGGTTAGGGACATCATCAGGCGTTAGTTATGGACAGGGTGAGGGTATTATTGAAAGACAGCTCAGGCAATGAGGCACACCGTCAGGGCTTTGGGTGGGGGCAGCGTCAGGGAGTAGTTGGGGAAAGAGTGACTCAGGGTTTTAGTTAGAGACAGTGTCAGGTTCTTCATTAGGCACACTGTCATGGCCTTTGGTAAAGATAAATTGAGGGCCTTAGAGACGTTTTGGGTCATTAGTGACATTGTCTGGACTTTAGTGTTGTCTTTTGTTCATCATGTATGGCGTGAATCAGGGCATTAATGAGGGACAGGGCAAGTTATTAGGGATTGTGTCAGGGTGTTAGTTAGGGAATGTGTTAGCAAGTTGGTTAGAGAAAGAGTGATGCCAGTAGTTAAAGACAGAGTCAGGGAGTTAGTCAGAGACAGTCTCAGTTTTTAATTAGGGAGAGTGTCAGTGCATTAGTTATAGATAAGTTGAGGGTCTTTGTTAATGACAGCCTGCAGGCCTCAGTTGGAGCCGGGTTGACGGTCTTGGGACTAAATTTAGGGCCTTAGGTCGGGACAGCATTAGGGATTTAGTTAGCATAAGAGACTTGACGTTATGTAAAGAGAAGGTTAGGTTGAGGTGTAGGAATAGCGTCAGAACATGACGTAGGTTTAGTGTGAGGACCATACCTACTTAGAGTATCAGTTCCTAATTTAGGTGCAGTGTCAGGGCTTCAGGAAGGGACAGCGTTAGAGCCTGAGTTAGGGAGAGTGAGAGGGCGTGATTGAGGCCTGGAGTCAGTGTCAGGGCATGATTAAGGAGCAGCATAAGGGCCTCGGTAGGAACAGAATAAGGGGTTTGTTAACGATATTATCAGGGCCTGTGGTAGAGAGAGCGTCATGGGCTCAGGGACAGCGTCAAGGCTTTCTGTGGGACAGTTTCAGGACTTTAATAAAACATGAGTCAGGATATAAGAAGCTCAGGATACTGTCAGGACTTTAGATATTGACGGTAGCAGAGCTTTAGTCTAGTCAGGGAAAGTGTCAAGGCCTGAGATAGATAGGAGCAGCATCTGTGTCTGTTTTATGTACTGTGGCAGGGCCTGAGTTAGGAATAGTGTTAGAGCGTTAGTTAGGGACAGTGTCACGGCCGTGGGACTAAATTCAGGGCCTGAGGTATTCACAGCATAAGGGCTTCAGTTAGCATAAGAGGTAGGAAAGTTGCTAAGTTTTGGGATCGTCTGAGGAAACGACCTAGGGCAATTGTGAAGACGTTAGTCACTGAGAGTATCGGGGATGTATTAAGAATTAGTGTCATGGCTTCAGGTAGGGACAGAGGGAGAGTGCCAGGGACTGAGTGAGGCTTTTTGTCAGGCCATTAGGTGAGGACACTGTCAGGGCATGTAGAAGGTGTATCAGGGCCTTTGTTGGGTCAGCAATATGGTCTTAGTTAAAGACATGATCAGGGTTTGAGTTAGTTACAGCATGAAGGGGTCACTTAAGCATAGCTACAGGGCCTGAGTTAGGTAGAGTCTTAGGCCTTTACTTACGGACAGAGACAGGGCTTCCTTAAGGACAGTGTGTGGGCCTTAGTTAGAGAAAGTGTCAGGGACTTAATTAGTTAGGGGGAGCATTAGGGCTTCAGTGAGGATAAGAGGCAGGTAATTAGCTTGGGACAGAGTTAGTTTACAGGTCAGGGATAGTGTCACGAAATGACCTAGGGATAGCGTCAGAGCCTAAGTAAGCTATGCCAACAGGGCCTAGTGAGGCCTATCTGTAGGGCTTGAGTGAGGGACAGTGTTAGGGTAAGACGTAGCAGTAGTACAGGTGTCTGTGTAGGATCAACCTTTGTGTGTTCGTAGAAGATACTGTCAGGGCCTCACTTAGTTATGGACATTGTCAGGGTGTACTTTGGGATAGTTTTAGCAGATTGGTAAGATACGGGTCAGGATATTACCTCCGAATAATGTCAGGACTTTAACTTATTGATGCCTGAAGGGCATTACAGGGGGAGCATCAGAGCCTTTGTTAGCTCCAGTGTGAGTTAGGAGGAGCCCGCAGGCCTTAGTTAGGGACAGGTTCACGACTTTGGGACTAAGAGTAGGACTAACTATAACTTG